GATTAGGCCCCAGCTTCCTTAATAAGACTCCTATAGCGCAGCAATTAAAACCAAGAATCAATAAATGGGATGGATTCAAACTAAAAAATTTCTTCTCAGCAAAAGAAACAATCTGTGAGGTGAATAGACAGCCTACATCCTGGGAGCAAACTTTTACCTCTCACACATCAGATAGAGCTCTAATCTTTTTCTTTTGTTCTATTACAGGGTCTCAGTGATTTGCCCATTTTATTTCTGTGTCTGTCTTACTTCATTCAGCATAATGTCCTCCAATTTCATTCATATTGTGGTAAATTCAGGATCTTGTTCTTTACGTCTGAGTAATATTTCATTGTGTATGCATATGTGTGTATCAGGTTTTTTATCCACTTATCTGTCAAGAAACACTTCAGCTGTTTCTGTATCTTGGCTATTATGAATAATACTACAATGAACATGGAAGTGCAGATATCTTTACCAGATAGTGATTGTATTTCCTTTGGGAGTATAAAGAGAAGAAACCTTGCTTGGTCATATTGTCGTTTTATTTTTAATTTGTTTAGGAATCACCAGACCATTTTCCACATGGATGCATCAATCCATGGAATCAGAATTCAATAAAGGAAAAAATAGGGACATATAAGTCAAAGGACAAATAGTAGTAGTACGTATGTAGAATGAGAAACCTAGAGATCTAACATACAATGTGAGGTCTGCAGTTAATTATACTGTATTTTGCCCAAATTTTAGATTTTAGATGCTTGTTGCAAAATAATGAGTAACTGTGATATTATGAATACATTAATTTGCTTGACTATAGCAACAGTTTCACTGTATTTATATCACACCCCAATATATACAAGTATATATTTAAAACAACAAGCAAAATCCAATAAACTGTTACAGCTAAGGAGACATAATTAATGCAGCATATATCCTGGATGGGCTCTTGAAACAGGAAAGTTATATTTAATAGACACTAAGAAAATATGAATGACCTATGGACCTCAGTTAATAACAACAATTCCGTATTGATCAATTAACTGTGATAAATGTACCACACTAGTGTAAGAGGATAACAATAAGTGAAACTTTATTGTGGGAGAGTGTAAATATAAGAGCCCTGTATTATCTCCAGAACTTTTCTATAAATATGAAACTGTTCTAAAAATAAAGCCTACCAGTTAAAAAAAGAAAAACAAATTTCAAAACTCAGAGAAAATTCTTACATAAGCCATCCACTTCAGTATTTGTGTTTTGAAACATTAATTCTCTAACAACCTGGCAATGTGGAAACTTTTATTGTATCAGTGGGGTAGTTAAGGCTCAAAGATATGAAGTGACTTCCCCCAAATCATGCACCCAGCAAATCTTGGTTTCTAGAGGCTGGACTGAAACCCAGAGTTTGGCTTCAGAGCTGGGACCCTCAGACACTTGACTACGTTCGTTGAACCCCTCAGCATGGTGCCAACACCCACCAGGGATCACCGGGCTCCTGATGCTGCTGTTGCTGTTAGCTTTGTTGGAATTTTTGTCAACATTTCCTCACCCTGACACAGCAGAGCACCTGCTGTCTGCACCTTGCAGTCTCCTATCAATAGTGTCTCCAGTAGCTTCCCCAGAAAAGGCTTTTCTCTTTGACTCAACACACAAGATCCAAAGGCAGCATCTGCCTCCACAGTGAGCATGTCACAGAGTCACTAGATACACTTGGTGATTCCAGCCTTGGGTCTGTCTGCACCTTTACCAGTGACCAAGCAACAGGCTCTGATCTCATCCAGTCCAAGGCCAACATGTCTGTGTTTGACTTTTCAGTTGTCCATGGCCTTCCAGTACTTAACAATGATCTTCACCTGGGAAGAATGGGGGAAGTTGGACCTGTCCCAGAGGACCCTGTACCAGGAGGTAATACTGGAGACCTGTGGGCACCTGGTCTCATTAGGTAAGCCTCACCTCTCTCCCATGTGTAGACAGCCTCTTACTTCAGGTCTGCGTGGTAGGAAGAGCCTCTGAGCCCACTCTCCCTGCCCAAAATTCCTGCTGTTTTTGTTTCACTTCCCCCTATCTTACTATCCCTGTCTACCCAGGCACCCTGAGGGGCCGAATACAGGAAATCAAGAACCAAGCCTGCACTCTCAATTCTAATATCTAGCACAAGCTGCCCTCTGTCTCCGGTCCTTAGTCCTGATCCTCACCACAGGGAGACTGAATGGGCAAGCTTTGTTGGTTAGGTGTTCCCATGACCCAGTTTGCTTGGGCTGCAGATGATGGTCCATTCTTTTAAAAAGTCCATGAATCTAGCAGGCCAGCTGGCAACTTTCTAAATTACACAGTATCCATTACGCTCACTTTTACCTGATGTCTACACCATCATCCTTGATTCCTAGGGTCTGTCTCATAATCCTCTTTAGGTGCAGATGATTTTAAAAGGTGCACAAATGTATCATCACTGTATCATTGATGGCATTAAATGGAGACCTCTGCGCTGCTTTCTGATTGTTGTCAGGAGAAAGTCTTAATTAGTGATGAGTCTCTGGTGCCTGCCCTAACTTTTGCTAATTTTCCTTTTCAACAGAGGAAGTAGCGATAATTTATAGCACAAGAATCTATAGCATTATTTTTATTTCATTGTTGTATTGTGATGGCATCCTATTTCTGAAAAATGAAACTAGTTTTCCTATTTAAAAGTCATACAAGATTCCATTTCTGAAAGAATCTATTTAAGTAAACAAAATGTGTGTCAGCCCAAAGAAAAAATAGTTTACAGTAATGGTCACACTAATGTCCCTTGAACACTAACACCATGTCAAGCCCTGTTCCAGTCACTCCCCCTACTCCACTGATTTAATCCTCACAACGTCCCTTGTGAAATGTGACTTTATTGTTGTTGTTTAAGGCTACTGGCTCTGCACCCAGTTCTCTCCCCTGTAGAAAGCTGATGCCCAAAGACAACAATGATATTTTTAGCATTAGGGTTTTTTTAAATAAGCTTCCTTATCGAGGTATACCTACTATTTGGTAATTTGTATGATCCTAAGTGTCCAGCTGGTTGCACATTTCATCTGTGGCTTTCATTCCTGTGATTTCCACCTGGATCAAGCTTGGACATTCTCAGCCTATGACAGATTTCCCCCACTGCCTCCCAGTCAGTTCCCCACAAAGGCACCGCTCCACTGACCTCTGTCTCCATAGATTAGATTGGCCCCTTCTTGAACATTATATGAATGGACTCACACTGCATACTTCTCTGTGTCTTGGGTCTCTTGTTCAACATTCTGTTTGAGAAATTCATAGCACAAGTATCACTTTCTTTCCTGAGATCATTGATGCAGATGTTCCCTAGTTCATACACTTTCCCTTCGCTTTACTCTGCTTCCTTAGAATAGCTGTTTTCCCAAATAAAACCGAACAAGGTCAGAGTCAGATGTAGACCAATTTGAACCATGCTTTTTCAATCCTCCCTGCACACTTGGAGAGCTTTTAGAGCTACTAATGTCCAGATCTAATCCCCAGAGATTTTGTTCCATTTGGTTCATGAATCACATCAGACATTCCCAGGTGGTTTTAATGTCCATGGAGATTGAGACCTACTTACTTAGGTTAATTCGAAAATAGCTTTTTCTAGAGGGGGAAAAAGGAAAAGAAAGATATGGCCAATCTCATGTAAATCAAACGGAGATCAGTAGAGGAAAGGGCCTAAGGGGTAGGAGGTGGGGAGGGAGGGGGGGCTTGCTCAGAATTGATATTGGCCAAATTATGTTGTTATATTGTGCATTGTGTGCATGTCTGAATATTTAACAACAAATACCATCAGTATGAACAACTATAATGTGCCAATTTTATAAAATGTAGGAAAAAGAAAATAGTTTCTTGAATGAAAGGTCTCATTCTTGCGGTCCCATGATTCCTTTAAAGGAGGAAGGGCTGCTCCTGAACAGAGTCAGATTCTTCAGGATAGAGATCCAGGGGAGTGGCTGTTAGGTAGATGGCCATCACTACCCTCTGCAGACTTTTGAAACAAGGATGGTGTTTGTGCTCTTGGTTTCCAGGTTACAGGTCAGCATTTTCTTTTCATGGTTGGAAGGAGTAGCCGCATTCTAAGATCTTGTTCTTACGTTGAATACCATATTGAATATAGAGGTTCATTTTGTCTTTACCAGAATATTGCTGTCCTGTTTCTCCATGTTCAGGGTATCCTATTCCCAAACCAGAACTGATCTGCCTGCCGGAAAATGAGCAAAATCTATGTATGGTAAAGAGAGGCCACTCCTAAAGTTCCTGCTCAGGTAAGTGTCTTGAGATCCAGGCAAGTGGTGTTGGTGGGGAATCCCTGTATCCTACAGACAGTAGGGAACCTCTTGTTGGGAACAGGAAAGGATCTTGTGACTTTCCTGGGGGCTTGGGAAGCCATGTAGCCCTGTGATCTATTCTTTCCGCCCCCTCTCAGTACATACTTTTTTGAGAATCTAACGTGGCATCTTTCTAACTTTGCAGTGGAACATTAGTCATTTTATACAGATAATGAGCAATGTTTTTAATCCACAGATGCACTTCTGTCTCAGATCTTCATTTCATCACTTATCGAAGATATTTTACCTGAGATGACTTTTCATCATCCTTAAATAGAATTTCCTTAAATAAGAATTCCATCTATGCAGTTTATTTTTCATTAAACTTTTAGCCTGAAGTACTTTCATCTCATGCTTTCTTCAAAGACATTTTTACTACATATAGAAATTTAGGTTCATGGTTCTTTCTTCAGCAGTTTCAACTGATCCCCGAATCATAATTATGTATACATAGGTACAGAGTGGTAACAGATAATTTATTCCATTCATAGCTTTCAAGTATTAAGTTAGAATGGGAACAGAAAACCCTAATACTGAGAGAGCAGTGATTATTGGAGGAACTTAGGATTTTTGGTAAAGAGAATGAGAGTATTGGTATGTAGGAAAAATAACATGAATATCTGCTAATCAAATCATTGTGCTGTGCTAGGTGCTCAGCAATCCCTTTCTCCCTTCCTGGACCTGGCTTCCCTTACACTTAAATTGGTTCTCACTTGAGGGACTGCAGATTCAGGTAGTGGAATAATTAAATCTTGCTGAGGGTGATACCAGGTAACTGAACCACTGAATATCAGACTCTGCAATCTCTCAACCCAAACTTTGTACCTGGTATGGCTGCCCTAAAGGTCAGAGGGGAGGAGAAGAGAGGTGAATTTCCTGAGAATTAGAGACTTGTCAACTGATGTCAGACGCTTGAAATCATGTCATCTGCACTCGCCACTTTGGCCAATGGGTAGTTAGCCAGTTGTCAAGTGTTGAATCATGTATTCTGTGAAAATTCATCACAGGTAATAGGCCTACCTATTCATGCATGATCTGTTTCTAAAAATAAAATTTTAAAAGGAGCCACATGTTACAAAGATGTACTTTCATGTAAAAACTTTAATGATTACTCTGAGGCCACTTGCTTAATTGTAGTGATTATATTTTATATTTTTAAAATATTTTTAGTAGTCAATGGACATTTATTCATCTATCTATCTATTTATTTATTTTTATGCAGTGCTGGGAATTGAACCCAATGCCTCACACATGCCAGGCAAGCACTCCTCGACTGAGCCACAACCCCACCCCCTGTATTTTATGTTTTGACAAATATCCCAAATGCAATACAAACAGGACATCTTAGACTTGCAGTGTAAATGGAAGTCTCATGATGATTCATAGAAATAGCTAGTGTGATTATAGTGAGTAGTATGCTATACATGGTATACTACATGTGTGCCAGATCCTGTGAAAAGCACTTTTTATATCCCTTCCCATGAGGTGTGTAGTATTATTTTATTCACTATGTTATTCACTGGGTTTTAATAAGCATGCCCTTTCTCAAACTGGATCTAGCATCAAAATTCCCTGGAGGACTCATGGAAGCACAGATGTCTGGACCTACTCTCAGAGTTTCTGATTCACTAGATTTGGGTAGGGCCAGAGGACTTGCATTTTTAACAAATTCCCAGGTAAGACTCTTGATAAAGATTTGGGAATGACTGAATTAGAGCAATACTTAATGTCAGTACACAGACTCCAAAAGAATAGTATTTTCTTCTTTTCCCCAAGTGTCAAAGAGGTAAGGAGGCTGACCTTGGACCTCAGAGGCAGTAAAATTAAGGGGTTCATCTCTGAGTGTGAGACATTAGTCTAGGTGGTCATACATATCTGGATGTGGCCCCTTTAAAAGGAAGGAAAACACTGACCCATCAGTATAACCTTGCAACATCAGTATTTCCATCAGTATTTATAAATACCATCAGTATTTCCCAGAGATCTTGGAGTGCTGGTTGGCCACTGTCACAAAGAACAGATACAGGACAGACACTACACTACCCCAAAGTGTTTCTTTGCTTCCACTGGAAGAAGGCATTTTCTGTACACCACAAAGACGGTAGTGGAGTTTCTGGAGATGCTGTTAGGGATGTTCATTTGGCAGTGGTGGGTCACTCACTCCACAGAGACCAAGCTGATTCCAGGTCCTCAGGGCTGTTTAAAAAGTATTCATAAAACTTATAAAGAACAATAGAACAGATTTCACTCAGAGAGAATATTGCAAGAGGTGTAGAAACCACTTTGTGATGGTGTTTTGCAGTGGGGTGGATAGATTAGGCTCAACTCCAAACACAAGGAAAAGTCGGGATTTATAGCCAAGGAGAAGGGCGGTGGTCAGTGGAAAATTTCTAAGAGGAAGCATCAGAAATAAGGGCGCACTCAGGTTAAACTGACTTAGGATTCTTGCTAAAACTGAAGAGGCAACATGGAAGTCCAAAAGTCAAGTTCTAGTTGAGAACAGAATTTAGAAGAATATGCTAGAGTCTCGTGGAGTAAAGATCTTTGTCAGGACCAAGTAAGGAAACAGTGCCAAGGAAAGGTCCTTCCTCCGCTCCTCTGTGTGAGCCATGAGTCCCCAGGTCAGGAGTTTTGCCAGGATCCTCCAGAGCGTCTGCACCCACCCTTCATCTCCATGATGCCACAGGCCTTGTGTGTATTTTATATTGGTGGAGACCAAAGCTTGAAGTGCCAGACATCACACCACACCAACTGTAGAACAAAGTGGGAGCTGGTTGAGCCTGGGAGGCACACTTGTCTCTCAGCTGTCATGACCCTACTGCACCCACTTTGTTCACTGGTGGTCCTGGTGCTGACAGACCCAGTGAGTGAGTAGAAGATCTCAGGCCCCAAGATGTTCGACTCCTACTCTCAGGTTCTTGGTGCCAAGATATAAAGAATGATGTTGACCTGCGCCTTTCCCCCTGCCCACATGTGGTGATTTAGAAAGAGGAATTTTCTGGTCATGATGGCAACACTAGTATGTACAAATAAAGGGGCCAAAGGGTCACCTTGCTTGGGCAAATCAGTGAGGTAGTAGGTATCACAGGGACAGGAGAGTGACTATGAGAGGGTACATATAGGGAAGATCAGAATATGGCAATGTCAAATTGTCCCAGGGAGGGTCAATTTGAGAGGGATGCTAAGGCTTAGAGGGAATGGAGGTCAAATTTCAGTATGACCTGTGAGGGAGCTTATTCACCCTTGAATGGATTCATCAGGCTTTGGTGGTGACTGGACACCACTCCCTGGGTGAAGAGACACAATATGAAACACAGTCGAGAAAGAGGATATGAGGGTATTAGATGTATGTATGGTTGTGAAAGGTTGAAGCCCCACATGGCCAGGCAAGGTCTTCAAAATAAAGTTGGTCCTGTCCCTGTTAGTGGGAACCATCAAAGGTGTATTGAGTTGAATTGTGTCCCTCTCCTCACCAAAAAAAAAAAAAAAGATGTTGCAGTCTCAATAATCAGTACCTCAGAATGTAACCTCTCTTGGAAATAGTCTTATACAGAGGTAAGCAAGGTAAAAAAGAGGTCATGAAGGTGAACCTTCATCCAATATGACTGGTATTGGTATGAAAAGGGGAAATTTGGACACTGAGACATAGAGGGAAGACAACATAAAGACACACAGAGACCTCAGAAAACTTGAAATGAGACCACAGTTTGACCCAACTATCCCCCTCCTTGGTATATACCCAAAGGACTTAAAATCAGCATACTACAGTGACACAGCACATCAATGTTTATAGCAGCTCAATTCACAATCGCTAAGCTAAGGAACCAACCTAGGTGCCCTTCAACAGATGACTGAATAAAGAAAACATTACTCGGCCATAAAAAGAATGAAATTATGGCATGTGCTGGTAAATGGGTGGAACTGGAGACTGTCATGCTAAGTGAAATAAGCCAATCCCCCAAAACCAAAGCCCAAATGTTTTCTCTGATATGCGGATGCTAGCACACAATAAAGGGGGGCGGAAGAATAGAAGTTTGTTGGATTAAACAAAGGGGAATAAAGGGAAGGGAGGGAGATGGAAATAGGAAAGACAATAGAGGGAATTGGACATATCTTTCCTATGTTCACGTATGAATACATGATGAATGTAACTCCACATCATGTACAACCATGAGAATGGAATCCTAATTGGAACAAGTTATACTCCATGTATGTACAATATATCACAATACACTCTACTGTCAGGAATATCTAAAAAGAATTTTTAAATGATAAAAAAAGACACAGAAGACAGCCAATGATTGGAGTGACGCCTCTTCAAACCAAGAGACACTAAAGATGTTGGCATCAAGTGTCAGAAGTTAGAAGAGGGAAGGAAAAATTCTCCCCAGAGCCACCAGAGAAAGCACAGTCCTGCCAACACCTTGACTTAAGTCTTCTAGAATCCAGAACTGTAAGAAAAAAAAGTCTGCTGTTTCAAGCCACCCAGTTTATGGTACTTTCTTACAGCAGCTCTAGGAAACTGGTATGCATCTAGGGCAGGGTGAGATCTTCATTGCTTTTACTGACAACTCTGAATGGTGTGTGCAGAGAGACTTGCAGCCAGCCCATGCAGATGTTGGTTTGCAATGGCAATGGGGTTCACAGGTGGGATCTAGAGTGATATGCCTGTGGGAGGAAGCATTAGTTTGGGGGCCTGGTGTTGGGGGTTAAGGAAGACGATCAAGTTCACTTTTGTCTGTATCTGGAAGGTATATTTTATGATGCTTTGACATCTTGGGGCCTGGCTTCAGTCTCCTGGAGAGCCCCCCTTTCCCAGAGCTGGATAACTCATTTGTAGTAAACAACTTGGCAGTAAGCAAGTTACTGATATGTAAACCTATGAATCTGAGTCCATACTCCTGCCTACCTTCTACAGTCCAGGACACTATCCCTCTGCCCTAAACCACTCCAGGCCAGGTACAGAACCTCTAGGAACCACACTTATAGCCCAAAATTCACCAAAATTATTCAAATTTTTCGAATCCTTAACTG